AATGAGACCAAAGTAATCAAGAGTGTCAAACAGGGATGCCCACAAGGCGGGGTTCTATCCCCCTTGCTATGGTGTCTAGTATTGGACTCGCTTATTAGAGAGTTAAACAAATATTGTTATACACAAGCCTATGCGGATGACTTGGTTATAACAGTGGTGGGTAAATTCCCAGACACTATTATTGACTTAGCACAACAGAGACTTAACACTATACAGATATGGTGTAGTAAGTACGGTCTATCTGTTAATCCAAATAAAGCAGAGGTTGTTATGTTCACTAGAAAGAGAATAGGACTAGACAACCTGGACACTCTTACTCTGAATGGACAAGAAATTAGCTTAAAATCAGAAGTAAAATACTTAGGTATTATCTTGGATAGTAAGCTAAAATGGAAATCACATGTTGAGTCAAGAATCAAAAAAGCAATGACCACATTGTGGACTTGCAGCAGAGCCTTGGGAAAGACATGGGGTCTTAAACCAAGAGTTATGTATTGGTTGTACACGTCAGTGATTAAACCTATGATATTGTACGGTGCCCTGGTCTGGTGGACCAGAACAGCACTCATTACAGCTAGGAAAGAACTTAGTCGCATACAGAGAATGGCTGCTATTGCCATCACTGGAGCATTAAGAACTACACCAACGGTCGCATTAGAGGCACTAATTGGATTGCCTCCTCTGCATCTAGAGGTGAAAGCTCACGCCAAAGCTACAGCACTAAGATTCCACAACTTAGGTATGTGGACTTTGGAGAGTGATACAACAGAACATGGTAAAATACTAAAAGAGATAGACAAGGGCTTTTTAGAATACCCCTTGGACTATATCAAACCGGTTCTTAAGAATAACATTCCCTACAAAGTGGAGATCACTACACGTATAGAATGGAATATTAACCACCTGACTGACAAAGGAGGATTTGTGATATATACAGATGGATCCAAAAAATCAGGAAAGGTAGGTGCTGGAATTTGGGGCTTAAAGCCACGAATAAATGTCAGTATGTCATTGGGCACAACACCCTCTGTTTTCCAAGCAGAGGTGATGGCGATACTGGTAGGGGCTCAGAACCTGCTGGTATACAAAAATAGGAAGATAACTATCTTAAGTGATAGTCAAGCGGCTTTGAAAGCACTCTGTAACGATCAGGTGAATTCAAAGCTGGTCCTCGAATGCAGGGAAACTTTAGAATCACTATCGAGGTTCAACAAAGTTACACTAGCGTGGGTACCAGGACACAACGGTGTCACTGGAAATGAGAATGCTGACTTTCTAGCCAGGAAAGGAGCAGAGAACACCTATGTTGGACCAGAACCAGTGGTAGGGCTCACTGAGCAATCGCTCAAAGCGTTACCCAAGAATTGGTGCAGAGAACAACACAGGAAAATCTGGAAGTACTTGGTAGTACCTAGACAATCTAAAATGTTTATCAAGACCCCTGGTTTATTGCTGGGTGATCTTAATAGCATGACTAGACATCAAATAAGCACCCTGACTGGTCTACTGACAGGACATGGTCACCTGCTTAAGCATCTTAACGCAATGGGGGTATCGGAATCACCATTGTGCAGAAAATGTGGAGTAGAAGAGGAAGACTCATTTCACATCATGTGCGAATGTGAAGCCTTGTCCACACTAAGATCAAACTACTTGAATAAACCATTTCCTGAAAAAGAGGATATTAAAAACCTAAAACCCAGGGAGATACTTAATTTCGCCAGAAAGACAGGACTCTTTGGTCATCTCTAGAGGTGACTTTATGGTTGGTAATGTATTAACACTTTGGTGATAACACTTAGGTGGGTAAACCGAATCAAGACAATTCGGTATGAGGTGCGCACAATGGACCAACAGGTCTGAGTGCATGGGCATTATGTCCACCTCAATAATAACTAAAACTAAAACTAAAAATCAACAGTCTTTACGATTTGTAAAGTAAGCGTCATGCCAGGACCTGATATTCCGCTATTTAAAAAATTTAAAAATCAGTGGGATACCATTATAAAAACTGATGTTTCTACTGGAATTTCTCATGCTAGAGTTCGACATATTTTAAATAATGACATTGATGAAATTTTACAGTTTTGTTTTGATAGACTTAATTTATCGTTTACGTGAGATGATTATAAAGAATTTCTTACTTTAATTATTTTTTTGTGGGGTGTCCCTCCAAAAGGAATAAAATTAAAAAAACCAGGGGCATACTATTTAGCACGTTGGATGGCTAAAGGTATATTTTTACTTAGAAATCAGTTTCAGTTAATTAAACTTGAGGAAAATTCTCTCGCAGAACTTAATTGCTTTATTATAAAATGTTACGCTATGAACTGTTTTATTGCCTCAAACAGTGAAATGGCTCCTTTAGATGACATCAGATTTTTAATAAAATTGCATGAATATTCTAAAATGAATAAAGATATTTCTGAAGCTATAATTAGAACATTTTTAAATCATTTATATTATTTGAATGAAGAATGTTCATCTTTTGCATTATTCGATCAAAGAGTAGACGACGAAACAAAATTGAAAATGGCTAAAAAATTATGTGAAGACATCTTCGATGAAGAAAATGAAATAGAAAAAGAGATTGAAACCCCCAAAAAACTAATTTTAAAAAAAGGTGACATTCCATTTTTTTTAATGATTACGATAAAACAATTTTAGTTAAACTTATAAGTCAAAAATCTCTAAAGATGTTTAAAAGATTCAATATAAATAGTGATATTTTAAAAACTCATCCCACNTGTTTAAAAGATTCAATATAAATAGTGATATTTTAAAAACTCATCCCACCACGTGGAATAATTCAGCTAATTATAAATATGGCGAGGAAAAAATTAAAAAACTTAAAGTTGTCAACGATGCAGCAGAAAGAGGGATTAAACTTATTAAGGAATTTGATAATAAAATTACAAAAAATGAAGAGCAAAAACAATTTCTTCTGCAGGTAAATAACATTAGTTAATAGTTTTAATAATAAATAATACTATTTATTTTTAATTTTTAGACTATACAAAATTATCGTGAAAAATATCCCAATCCATCTCTAAATGTTCTTAAAAAAACCCTCTCATTTTTTTTTATTTAATATTATTTATTTTTTATTTTTTTTAATTTTACATAAGTCCATGTTATTTTATAGACATAAGGAATGTTTTATAATAATGAAATAAGAAACAATATTTTTAAAAAATATTAATTTTTTTATAAAATTGAAATTAATTTATTTTAGTCTGTTATAATTTTTGTTGCAATAATATGATAAAAGAGTATTCTATAATACGCGAAATGGCACATATTTTAATTGGTAATGATTCTATTTACAATTACTTTATTGGATCAAAAAAGTTCCATTTAGATAACGTTAGAGGTACACGGTAAATATAAAAAAAAGAATCGAATATTGCACATGTATGATTATTATCGTACTTGGATAATTCAACGATTTTTTGTAATGATTTACACAATTTTTTGTAAAATGAAAATTGTAACGACTATATGTCAAAACAACGGATTTTACGAATTTACACAAAACTTTAAGTTTAAATCGGCACGTGTTAAAATTGTTCAAATGGGCTGATACTTTACATGATTTATATTTAAGGTATTTGTAATAAAATTTTGACCGTCGCTCATAAGAATTACAAAAAAAAAAAAAATCATCATGTATGAATAAGTGGCACCCTAATATACATACTTAAGATAGTTTTCTATTATTAAATATTAATTAATATAATTTATTTACCTTAGTTAAAACGTCATATTTTCTTTATAAAGTTATGCTTATGTGATAAAATAAGTAATTGTTCAAAACGACATGATCATATTTAGGGGTGGTTAAAGGGGGCAAAAATTCTTGGGGGCCAATGTCATTTGATAGTGATAGGACAAAAAATTACTTTATTTTGCTCATTAATATTAATACCCCACGGAAAAATCTTAAATACTGGCCTGAACATAACATTGAATAAAAGTCAAACAATTTGGTACTGGCAGCTACCTAACCTGACCGTATGCTAAAACCGATACTGATCGTCGTAATGACCCATAGATAAAACTAAATTGTTCTCAATTTTGTTAGTAGATAGACAGGTAGAAGATTAGTTTTTTCGGAAACGAAATACCGACCTTATTCAGGTTTGGATGAAATGTTAATCTCCCGTCTTGTTGCTTGACGACAACTGGCTCCCTTTAAATGGCGTATTGGGTGTATCGTGTCAGTTCAAGAAAGAAGTGATGGAGTGGTAAGGTCGGCCTTTGTTCGAACTGTTGATGGATTATACAGAGTGTTCAGTAAGTCAGGAAACGGGTTTCTATTGTTCTCATTGTTTGTAACAATGAGAACAATAGAAACCCGTTTCCTGACTTACTGAACACCCTGTATAAGCGGGCTGTCCGCCAATTGTGTCCTTTACTGTTTGAAGGTAATAACTCATCTCCAGAAATTTCATCCCAGTAGGTCGAAAAAAAAATTGTATAAATATGTTGTTATTATTTGTTTGTTATCCATTTATCCTGAGAATATTTAACTGTCTATGATTTATTAATATTTTATACTATCTTTGTCTCATTTTTTGGTTTTTATTGTTTAATTAATTTATGTTTTTTTATATATGTAAACAAAAATATTATATTTGTAGGTAAAATAATACTATTACTTTAATTATTTTTAATCTTACATCAAAATAGTCATGTTTAGAGCTTAAAATTTATCTTTAACTGTATACTTGATGTATTTATTATTCAATTAGTCATTTTGAAATTTGTTAGTTCAAGGCGGCTGGCGTGTTTGATCCTTTTTCCATATATGCGATAATACCATGTACTTAATCGTCTCCAACCAGTTATTATTTTTATCATTTAGTTAGGTTGCCCGCGGTAGCTTTTGCGGATATGTACGGACGGCATGCCGTAGTCGTCACAATAAAGAGCGAAAATAAAGTAAAAGTTATTTTCCAAAATAAAAGTTTTATATATTCGAAATCCTTACAGTCCACTATTACAATTGAGAAGCCTTAACAGTTAGTATACTCAAAATAAAGAAAATTAATCATTACTTAAAATTATTGTTAACAGAGACTTTAATGTCAAAATGAAAAAATATTAGGAAGTTCTTTGTGCAACTAAACTGTTATAACTGGACAGTTTCTTTAATCCTCCTTTTAGAAAATATTTTGGCGAGCTCACTGTCTTCCTCTTGAGGCTTTTTTATTTCTAAACGTTTAACCTTCAAATTAAAAAAAAAAACATAAAAAAAGTAATTTATAGAGTTAATAAATATTTATGAAAATAAATACTTTTTTTAATGTCACACCGTTTTTTAATTCTCTTATTAAATCTGCATTGTGCATATTTCCTGGCTACATGAAATAAAAAATATGTATTGAGAAATGTGATACAATTTATATTAAGATATCGTTGAGATCAACAGAATTATATCATTAAACTTGATTACTAATCAGATAATGTATTTTATTTACAACCCTTTTAACGTATTAAAACTAATACAAAGAGAGTTTTTTTAAATCTAAAGTTTCGTATGGATTAAAAACTTAGAGCAAAGATATGTTTAGAGTACTTAATAATTAATTAGTAGACAAATTTATTTACCTTTAATATTTTTTTAATTTTGGTCTCGGTATCCTTTTCTAGTCTTACATCATCACCATTACCTTTATGTTTAAAAATTAATGGAGGCATTGGTGCTATGAATGGAAAAGGTGGTGGTGGTGGCGGCGGCGGTGGTGGTGGTGGAATATGGCCTGTAACAATTATTTTCTTAAATAATATCTACATTAGATTAAACATCAGACATTATAATTGATAAATACGATTGAGGTATTAATTTTAAAAAAATATCAGTAATAGTTAGAAATCAATAAACATTTTATCTTTAATTTAGTTACAATATATTATCAATTATTTATTAAAATATTGTATATTCTAATGAATAAACTATATATTTTATTAAACTTGCACAAAAATTTTATCTAAAAAACAATTTTGTATAAGAAAGGGGCAAATTATGTTTAGATCAACATCGCAAGCTACTGAAATATTCGAATTTTTACCGACTTCCATTATATAGTCAACTATATTAATTAGTCAAGAAAATAATCATAATTGAATTAATTAAAATTATGCTAATTCTTATCTTCTTAATAATTAACTTATTTTCTTGATAATTAAATTCTTAATAATTCTTAATAATATTGTTAACCCAATATTGGCAAAATCAGGTCAGTTGTTCTATTTAATCCAGTATTAGAAAAAAATATGAGATAAACTAACATCGGACCACAGGAGAAGATGTAATTACAAGAGTCTTCCTTGGTTTATGTATACGATTTGGTCCCCATTAATAAGTCACACTATTTGGCCGTTTAGAGGAGTCAGCAAAAAAGGTTGGCTAAAAATAAATGAAGGCAAAACCCAATAAATGGAGGTGGAGAGAAGACATAGTACGAGAATATATCCTTCTTCAACAGTGGGTATCCATGAGTTCATCGAGTCAAACACAATTTATATACTTAGGTTCGGTATTGACCGAAAAAAATGAAAGTGAAAAAGAAGTAGCAACAAGAATCCTGTCGGGGAACGAATGTCTTGGTTGGTTGTTTAACGAGATGGTCCTAGTGGCCGTAAAAACCCAAGAAGAAGAAGAATGAATAGTAAGTATATAATTAGTCGCATGCAAATAATCCCTTTTTAATATTTTATTCTAGTTATAAAAAAGTAATTATCTATACATTTTAAAATGTAAATAAAAGCAACTTCAGTAATGTATCAATGTTTTTAAAACTAAAACATTACAAATAAAGTTATTTTTACAATTGTAGTTATTATTTACTTTTTGTTTCATTCTTTATTACATAACTATTAAAAGATTCCTTCAGCTCCATTAATTCCGATTTTATAAATTGAAAATCATCTATAAAATGACACATTAATATAAATTATCATAATTAATGATAACATCAAATAATTTTTACCTTCAAGTTTCATTATTCTTTGCGAGTTTAAATCAAATATTTTATAACCTTCTAAAACGTACAAATTATTATATATATAAATATTGTATATTCATTACAAAATTTTATTTTAATAGAATCAAAACTAAAATACTTTAAATAAATTACTTTTTCCTTTAGATTTTTTTTTGCCTTTTTTTTCATCATAATGAGAAGCATTATTTATTTTAACCATTTCTAATGTTAAACTATGTACTAATTCTAAACATAAAATTAAATATTGATATTAAAATATTACACATTGCCCAACTAAGAAAGACGTCAAATAATGTTTTACCTTCGAGTTTCGTTAATCGCTGAGATGTTGCATCTCCTTTTAAAAAAAGAATAATGGTTAAAAAAAAAACTTTATATGAAATATTAAAATACTTACCAAGAATTGGTATGTTAACACTGTTGGTTAATATTAATCGATTGTGAGGTTTTAATAAATTTTACACAATTTTAATATTCATAACTGTCACTGGATTATTCGCGCTCTTTAAAGGTAATATAAAAAATGCGAAAAGTATAAAGCAAATAAAGAATTTTTGAAAGCAAATTTTTTATATTGGCAAAAAATATGATATACTAATTTATGTCCGAAATAAATTCAGTTTATAAATGTTTTTACAAAAAACGACAATTATTTGAATACTAAAAATTAAAAGTAAACTTGTAAATATTCTACATTGACTAGAATATTTACTATTATTAATCTGGAGAATTGAAAACTTTGAAATACTCGTAAGTAAAATTTAGAGTTCCTCCTAATTCAGAAAATAATCAAGAATCAACTGTATTTTGTTGTCAATAATATTGTTCTATACAAAAACATTAAAGCAGAGCTCATAGTTCATACAATTATATATTTTAAAAGTAAGCAATCCTTTTATTTGCGGTATAGTACATACTGTTATTTAGTAAATTTTGTCAATATATAAATGTTAGAACTATCAAACTCAACTTTAAAAAAATACAAACCATTTTCCATAATATTTTTAATCTCATCTTGTTCTGCCGGACGGATGATTTGTGCAGGTAATGTTGTGTTATCTAATTTTTTATCAAATATGGCATCCTAGAAAATTTGCTAGGTATAATTCACACTATACTTTAAAAATAGTTAAAATAATTTTATTATTAAACCGTAGATTCAATAGCTAATTGTTTTTTTTCATTGAGTTTTAGATCTGTAAAATGTTCTGATTTTTGCGTTTCCTTCAAGGCCTGTATACTTATTTTATCCTTTGTATTTTTTTTTCTTGTTATAAAATGCCATATAGTAAGAAAACATCCACTCTTTTTGCCTTTTGATTCCATTTTTAACAACAAATAACAATAATAATAACAATTACAATAACAATGAGTTTATAAAGTAGGAAAACTTGTTTTTGTTATGATAATCAAATGAATTTGTAATGATAAATTATTTGTAATGAATGTTTACTATGTAAAACTTACAATAACCCTAGTAATAAATAGTTAATATTTTTACGAACATTTTAATAAATTGAAACCTTAAGTAATATCGCTAATATGTAAGGACTTACATCGTAATAAGGTAGTCGATCCTGGTTTTGAGGGCATGGACCCGTGAGCGGTTTATTATTCAGATTATTAAAAAACAAAAAAACCGAAATGACGAACACTATTAATAATAATCTTCACATAATTTGGTGGCACTTTTACTGTGGTTGTCGACGCGGTGTCCGGCATGATCATCGGTCATCAACAAGTTAGCAGCGTTGATGGCAATTGTGCGCCAGTCCCAAACCGGTGGCGTACATCCTCGATGTTGTCTGTTAGACTCAACGTATCATTTGCGGCGGGGCGTCTTTGGCCGAGTGGCACTTGCTGGACTTTGTACTATGGTTTATGGCACGCTGTCAAATACTCATATTAGGGCGAGGACTCATAATGGTGGCATGAGTCGTGGGACATCGTGCATCATTTCATATTTTTGTATGTTCTTTTTTAGTTCATCCAAATTACGATTTTCAAGAATACCTATGTATCTAGTAATGTTGGGTTTTAATCCTTTCATAACATTCCTTACAATCTCGTCTTCGCTCATATTATAATCAATTCTCTTAAATAATGCAAATGTTTCATTTATAAAGACAACTGTTTGCTCGTCTTCCATTTGTCTCCTTCTTTATAATAATATACATAACATGTCACTTTGTGCAATTGGTTAGAATTCCTCTCTCAATCTTTTATCTAATTCACTCCAAGCTAAATTTTAGCTTCGAAGCTTCTAAGATGTGTTTTTTTTTTTTTTTT